GCCACCCCCTTAGCCCCACCCCCACCCCCGGCACCACCACTGCCTGGAGTCATTCCAGGTCTGGGCACAGGGGCCTTCAGAGGTCCCATGAGCACCACAGCCACGAAGTAGCATTCCCGTGGCCCCTGCTGCCCAGGGTGGGTGCCAGGCACAGCACTTACTGTAACAGCTCTCGCAGGCCCGGCCAGCCCCGGGGCTCTGGCCTGGTGTCCCTGTGCCATTCACTACACTGGCCTTGACACTGTTGGCGCTGATCTGGTTTGGATTTGGCTTGTTACTGATGGAGGAGAAGGATCAGTCACAGGTGCCCTGCAGTGTCTGTATCCCAGCAGACATCCCTGTCCCCTTGGTTCACTGTGTCTTCGCTGCCACACCCCATGCCCCAATATGCTGAGCACTAAACCCAGCTTGACTCCTAGGCCAAAGGAACTCGAGTCCTGACCCCTCCTCCCAAGCTAAGCAAGCTCATGAAAAGGGTGATGGAGGTTCTTTGACTTAGCTCAGGAGGCCGCCTGACCCCAGTGGATCCTAAGAGCCCCACAGTCACTGCCCATCCACCAATGGCCCCCAGGAACATAGGAATGGACTTACTAGTTGGGAATATAAACCTGCTTTAACTTGCTCTCCGCTTCAGCTGCTTTCAAACGTTTCTTAAAACAAAACAGAGGGTTATGAAGGTCACCAGGCTGGCCAGGGCAGCTAGAAGACCACAGGGAGGGGAACATCATTGTTTCTCCATCACTGGCTCCCCTGGGAAAGACTCGAGAAAATTTTGCATGGCTCTCTCTGGCCATCCTAGGGCCAGGAAGTGGAGGCTTCAGGTGGCTAGGGTTCAGGAATGTCCCTTCCTCCTGTCTGTGCATCCTCTAGAGACCATGGCTTCTTCCTCTTTGCTCCAGGGTTAGGGGGAGGTCTTTGGGAACAAATTAATGTGACTACACAGAGACTGTGGGGAGGGACGAGGTAGGTTGTGGGGAGGGCCCACCTGCTGGACGTATCTGTCGGTCGTCTTCCACATGTAGTAATATTCAATGATGCTGGTGAGCGATTTCCAGGGGAGCTGGGGTGAGACAAGGCATCATGGGTGGTAGGAACTGGACTACTGCCCAGATAGGGAGCAGGGTGGCAAGGGCAGTGCTGGGAGGTCAATTCTGGTCCCCCTCCTTCAGTGCTAACCACAGGAGTGTGTGGCTGACCTTCCCCTCAACACCCACGCTAGAGTCATTTCCATTATGTCTGAGTCTGGGACCTGAGCAAGACGACAAGAACTTGGTTCTGTCCTTACCAAGGACCAGAGACGAAGAGGACAAGATGGGCAGACCCCGTTGCCTGCCCTTCTGCCTCCCGCCAGGAGACAACGTAGCACAAGGTCTCTTGCCAAAGGCAGACTGGACCATGGACTGATGGGTGTCACGAGCTACCCATTCTCAGGTGCACAAGGGGGCCCACCCAGGAGGAGAGACCCCTTGCAGCAGTCGGGCTGCCCTTCACCTTAGCTGGAAAGACATATTTGCTGCTTCTCTGGGTTAGTTGTCCTCCACCTTCGTATTTAGCTCAGTGTTGAGGGGCTGGAGTGGCTTTTATCTTTCAGCACATAGCAGTGTATAGAGCCCCTTCACCTTGCCCTCCCTCCAGTGCTGCCTAAGCCTCAGGCCAAATGACTGAAGTTTAGTCTTCACACCTCAAGCTGCTGTTTAAAATGGCACTTTTTTTTTTTTTTTTTTTTTTTTTTTGAGACAGGGTTTCTCTGTGTAGCTTTGAAGCCTGGCCTGGCACTCGCTCTGGGGACCAGGCTGGCCTCGAACTCACAGCGATCCGCCTGCCTCTACCTCCCAAGTGCTGGGATTAAAGGCATGCGCCACCAATGCCAGGCTAAAATGGCACTTTTAATTAAAAAGGGCTCAACAGGTTGTTTTTCTGGCAGTGTTAGGGATCAAACCCTGGGCCTTGCCTATACAAGGCCAGCATCCTACCTACCACTGAGCTATGCCTCAAGGCTAGGGCTTCAGTCTTTAAGGCTGGCATGATGGTTAGAAATGTCACCTGAAAACTTTGTTTCTTTAATATCTATCAGCTTGATCTACACGAACCATTTCCTGAGAGCAGACCCACGACAGCACCGGGTGACACAGAAGGTGGGCTTGTCTGTTCTGTGCAGAATCCTGTTTCTGTACTTGGTTCACTTGGCCCTCTAGCCAGCAGGCCTTGCCCTCTAGCAGGTGGCTCTGCAGCCCTTTCTTCTGGGTCTCTGACAGACTCAGTTTACCTGCTGAACTGCATCTAGGAACGTGCAGATTCTGCAGGGCTGTCCCCCACTGTAGCAGCCACGCCCAGCCCCCCTCAAACATTGCCAGCTCTGTTCCACTGTTGTTTTCTTTCTGTCCCGTTCTTCTCATTCTACTTTTTGTCTAAAAAGCTTGTACTTTTTTTTCAAATCCAGTTACATGCCAGGCTGTCCAGCAGAGACTGTGGGTTCTGTGGGCCATGGGAGTGACCAGCACTCCCAGAGACAGACACTCCCTCAGCCCTTCTGCCTATGCCTGAGTAAGCACCCTGCACGCTCCTGGCTCTCCCACCCTGGCCTAGGCTTGCTACTGGGTTTGTTTGTGGGTTTGTAGCAGGTTCTCACTATTTCCCAGGCTGGTCTCAAACTCATAATCCTGCCTGAGTCTCCTGAATGCTGGGGTTATCGGCATTGTTTGACGGTACTCCAGTGGGTAACATATTCCACTCACTACATCCTGGATGCTAGTAACCCTATCTCCTCAAGGCTGTGGGGAAGGTGGCCCAGCTGCCTCAGCTCATACAGACATGATCCCACTCTTCAGTCCTTTGGGGAGCTGGGGGGCTCTGAGGGCTTAGGCTCTATCATAGTAAAGACTTGGCTGGCACTGCACACAGGAGGGAGGGTCAGCTTAGTTAAGAACAAAACAGAAATGAGTCCAAGCAGCCGGGAAGTCTTGAGGGTGCCTCAGGGAAACCTCCACGGTTGTTCTCCTAGCTCCACAGTGAGAGCCTAGGCCTGCTCAGCGCTCACTGGACTCAAAGGGCTGAGGCCTAGCCATAGGCACAGGCATCTTCCTGGGTGAGAGGTGGGGCCTGGCTAGCCACTACCCCAGCCTCACTTAAGCACTTACAAAATCTTGCTGAATGTCTGTGAAATCCTTCCCATATTTTTCCAGAGCTTCCTCAAAAAGGTTGGCTTCCGATGCAGACCACTCTTCCATTTCATCCCTGCAGAGCACCGGCCCACCCTGCGGCACGAGGGCTGAAATGGCCTTGGAGATGTCATAGATGTTCTTGTGCAGCGTGTCCATGGCATGGAACTGGAAGACAGCAGAGCTCCCCTGGGTCCAGGCTGTCCCCAGACCCTAAGGAGCATCTTCCTGAACCTGCGATGTGACCCCCTGCCCCCACTCCTTCAGGTCTCAAGGTGACAATCTAGTGGCTGCCAAGGCCCCTGGGTGGGAATTGGTAGGAATCCCTCCCTAACTCCCTTGGCGTGTGTTAGACAAATCTAAGGTGTAGCAGAAGTCGCTGAAGTCCTCGGTTACCTTGCTAGGACCCCAGAAGAGAGCAGGGAGGTGGCAGTGGCCCACTCACCAGGGTGATGTCTCGGGAGGCTGCCGCGGCACTCATGTGCAGGCTAGGCTGCCGCACGGAGCTGCTGCAATCCAGGGCCCGTGCAAAGGTGCCCACGGAGCTGGGGAGAGGGAGACTCACTGAGCACCAGAGCTGAGCTGCAGGGATGCCCTCCGCCAGGCAAGCCAGTGAGAGCCAGGACCCAGGTGGCACACTGCCACCAAAGGGCCTCTGGGCCTCGGCTTTAGAGGAGGCCAGGCAGGACTGCATGAGCATCTTAGCGGCCTATGAGTCCCGTGTGCAAAATGAGTTGGGGGCAAAGAACATACAAAAGGTGCCTCGGGGCTGGTTAGGAGACTTCTCCATCTCCAGTGTGTCTGCCGGAGATCTCTCTATGGGGAACTGCCTCAGACCTGGAGATCCTCGGCCTCACTGTCTGTGGCAAATGTAGACGGGCCTCCTCCTGAGCCATGCTGCTCGTAGGCTCAGCACTGGTTCTGGGGTCCCACCTCAGCCACCCACTCAGACAGCAGGGAGCTCGTTAGCTAGGTCCCAGCCTAGCCCTTGGAGAAGTGCCTGCCTATGGCAGAGACAGAACCCAGAGCACACAATGAGAACACAGGCCCAGACACATAGACACACCTGTCATGGGATCCACAGGGACCCGGGGACATTTGCGGCCTTTCCCTACTCAGGGAAAAGGCCTGAACAGGAAACAAGGGCAAGACCATGGACTTCATGCTGGATGTACAAACTAAGGCTCCACGTCCTAGAGACCCACCACAGTGCCCCACGCAACAACCCGCTGGCCCCTGGTCTTCGGACTCACCGGGCCACTACAAGGAACTGGTCGATCTGCTTATCCACAAGTGGGTTATGCGCTTCCCACACCTTGGTCTCCAATTTCGACTGATCACGGCCATCCTCCTCACCTATGGGGAACAAGTGTTGCTTAGTGAGAACAGCCAAGGCTGTGAGAGAGTGGACTCCAGAGTGGAACCAAGAGTCTGCCTGCTCCCCAGGCCCCAAGTGCTGGCCTGGAGGGGAGGCCGGCACACACACCCATACACGCAACCTCCAGGGCACATAGAGCCCAGCAAGGGCTTGTACATCTGGGGCTGGGGAAGACCTGGGGAAGGGGAGGTGTCAGGTGCTCTGCTATTACTCTGAGAGTTATGGGACAATTACTGATGAAATAACTGTATACTCACAAAGAGCATACAGCAGCACCGAGTCTTGAGAACTAAGCCATGAGCCGGGCTAGGCATGACTCTAGGGAGATGCCCCAAGGAGAAATCTCACAATCACCCATTGTGTGACTCTCCAGCCAAGGGCTACATTCATAATTTAATGAGGGTATCAAGCTTCAAAGTTTGCATCAGATCCGATCAACTCCCCTTTGGCCCTTGGCATCAACGCACCATGTGGCCGTGCTCAGCCTGCACTTGGAGTCCCTGCAGGGCACTGGGTTCCAAGTCAGGGCACTGAGCAAGCTCTTTAACAGAAGGACTGAATGTCTCCAAGGTGATGTTTCTGACCCTCTTAAAGAGCTACTATCTCTGGGTCCTAAATCCAGGGCAGGGCAGGTCTTATGATCAGCCCGTCACAGAGGATGAGGGTCCTGAGTTGGAAGCCCATCACTGCAGAAGACCCAGTAGGGGCCACGGTAAGGAATGAGGGCTTGACTCATCATCAGGCTCTTTGGTGGTCTTGCTCCACAGCTGGATTCTATGCATCCCAGCCTATGCAGGCCCAGTACCATGGCATTTCCCCAGTGCTGTGGGTGGGATTCTATCTTGGTGTGGACCACACTCAACCCTTCATCTGGGGTCACAGGGTGGAATCCTGGCATTCCAAGGTCCCAAAAACCAAGACACTGTTCACAGAAAATGGTTTGTGATTTGCCTGGAACAGAGAGCAAAGAATGCCAGGGGATTCCAAGCCATACTGCTCACTTTCAAATTTCCAACACAGTCAATGGAGGCAGGCATTCAATTTCATGTCACTCAAAAGAGACACTGTGGGGCTGGAGAGGTGGCTCAGCTGATAAGGGAATGTACTGCTCTTCCAGGGGACCCGGGTTCAATTCCCAGCACCTGTATTCCCAGTACCCATGCCTAGCAGATCACAAACACCTGTAACTCCAGCTGCAGGGGATCTAACACCTCGGGTCTCGGTGGGCATCACATACACACACACCATAAAAAGTATAAGTATAATTTGAGAAAGACGTCATGGGGAAGCAACTGTCTGTGTCAAAGGCTACAGCAGGAGTGCTGTGGCAGGCCACTCCCTAGGGCTCTCTTGGGGGTTCTGCTAACACTCACCAGTGAGCCCACAAATGCCTACACCTAATCCAGGGCTGCTGGATTCTGAGGAACAGATAGATGTTCCAGTGGAGTCCTCTGACCTCTGAGACCTCTCCTGCTTCTCTGGTCCCTGAGTAACAAGGCTCATGTGGATTTCACAGGCAAGGCCTCTGTTACTTTCCTCCGACCCTTCCTCTGGGCCAGGTTAAGAAAGCAGATACTGTGGTTTCAGTCCAGGACTGCCTGCAGCGCCTCAGGGCTAGGGATGCTTGGGGGAAGAAGCTGAGGTGAGGCCAGCTGAGGCAGCAGCTGGCTGGCTCTGCCTAAGAGGTTAGGTTATACGTGGGCATCAGGATGCCTCAGTGTCGAGGACTGGGAGCAACCATGGGACAGAAGCCAGCAAAGGGCAGCTCCTGAACACAGAACCCAGAGAGCCAGCTGCTTCACAAGCCAGGCCCCACCCAGCTACCAGCCAGCTGCGTTTAGCACCTCATTCTGAGATCCAACAAGCACCAGAAAACACATAGACTAGAAACCAGTAAGGCAAAGGAGGACATGCAAAATGATGCAAACATGCACTAGGCCAAGCTCTCTAGGCAGGCAGTGCCCTGCCCTAGCATACACAAGGCTCTATCCAAGGCACTGCGAGACAATAAGACAGCAACAGCCTCAGAGACTGAGCTAACAGGGACATGGGACATGGACAGAGCCCGAGCGCTTTACTAGGGGACAAAGGCCAGGCAGGGTCTTGAGCCTATCACATCATGCTGCCAGGGCTACTGAAGGAGGATGTGGGAGGGACGGGCAAGCCTCAGATGACAGGTGGAGTTGGTAGATGGTAAAATTGCTGCGACCTAACCTGACATCCGGTTTCAGTCTCTGTGACTCACCATAGCAGGGTAGAACCTACTCTTGCAGGGTGTCCTCTCACCGCCAAAACCCACATACACATCAATGAATGAATAAATATAATTTTACACTCCCCCCCAAAAGGAGGTGTTGGTGAGGTCTCTCAGTATGCACAGGTGCAGCCTACGACCTGAGTGTCCTAAGACCCACATGCTAGACAGAGAGAGGCCACCTCCACACTCTTCCCTGACCTCCACAACACTAAGGCCCTGAACTTGATCCCTGAGTCTCACATGGTGGGATGAGAAAACAGACTCCACAAGTTGTCTTCTGACTTACACGCACGCACGCACGCACGCACGCACGCACGCACGCACGCACGCACAGCACACAGAGTTACGAACTATAATAAACCAGGTGTGGTGACTTGCTACTGTAGCCTCAGCCCCTTCAAGGCTGAAGCAAGAGGGTGGCAAGTTCAGTTTGAACTATATATAAGTGAGTGAGACCCTGTCTCAAAAAACATGGTATAGGGTTGGGGAAATGGCTCAGTTCTCAACAGCACTGACTGCTCTTCCAGGAAACCTGGGTTCAACTCCCAGCATCCATGGGGCAGCTCACAACCTTCTGTAACTCCAGCCATAGGGGATCCAATTCCACCTTCTGACTCCATGGGCACTGTACAAAAGTGGTGCACCAATATATGTGCAAGCAAAATATAAATAGATAGATAGATAGATAGATAGATAGATAGATAGATAAAATAAGGAATGAGCTAGGGGTGTGGCAAGTGACAGAGTACTTGCCTAGCAGAAACCATATAAAATCAAACTCATAATCCGAGGTCAAGAAGCCACAGGGGTTCAACAGGTGGCTCAGGGTTTGAGACTCACTGCTGGATCCCAGTGTCCACTAGAAAGGAGGCTCTGCAAGGGCCGAAGCCAAGGCCACCGAGATTGCAGCTACAGGTACTGCTTCCGGCTTCCTCCTCGCCATGGCCCCACCCGAACCTCACCTTCTTTCAGCAAGTCAGTGATGTCAGCCTGGTACCGGTTTCCTACTCGGATTTCCCCTTTATCAGCCAGGAGGGTCTTCTGCTGTGGGTCGTAGACTAGAGAATAGAAGAAGAAATCCTGAAAAACACCACACACAAGACAGAGGCGTCAGGCAAGTCCTGTATCTCCAGCTGCTCCCACCAAGCCCGTCCCGTTCTGATGGGGGTGGGTGTTTAACCCGCTTGCCCGTGACTCTGGGGGCAGAAGCCCCTACAGTGAGAGCAACGGAAATGAAGAAATGAGGTAAGAGGGAGGAGAGACTTCACCAAACTGCTGCAGAGGTGCTTGTATGGTCAGCAACTAAGAGTTAACGAGCCAGGAACTTGCTGAGGTCACTGGGCACAGCCCCCTCACAAAAGCCATTGCCTTTCTGGCACAGAAACAATTTGAAATTCAACTTTATGAAGGCCAGGCAGAGTGGAGCAAATGCCTCTAATCCCAGTACTTGAGAGGCAGAAGCAGGCAGAGTTCTTTGAGTTTAAGACCACACTGGTCTACATGGTGAGTTCCAGGACAGCCAGGGCTACATAGCCTGTCTCAAACACTACCACCATCCTACAGGGGTGGGGAGTGGGGTTCAACGAAAACCAAGGTACCTAGGAATAAACCCCACAGGCTGCAGGCAGGCAAGCAAGCTTGTGGAGAGGCCACAAGCACAGAGCTCGACGCCGTGCCAGGATGCTGGTTTTCATGGCTGACCTAGCTCGGTGCCCGAACCTTACTTACACGGCAGCCTTTTTCAACATTCCCTGTCTCAGGCTTTAAGCCCCACGACCCCAGAGCTAGTGTTTACAACCAGCACGACATTGGTTCTGAGTAGCAGACTCCTGGGCCTAAGATCAGCAGGTTCAAAGCGCGCCCTGCAGTCTCTAGTCCTGGCCTGAGCCTGTTCACTCTGCGGCCAGGCCCTCCACAGCTCCGCGGCTCTCTTCACACTCCATCCCATCACTAGCAAATTCCTCTACCCCTCCCCCCGACTCCCATTCTTCTTCCTGCTACCACTCTGAAAACAGATAGCTTCTCAATGGCCACAGTGGAGTTAATACAACATAAAATGCCTGCCAATCAGCCGCTGCACTGCGGTGTTAGCACCACACACAAGGATACAAGGCCTGCCAATGCTGCCTTTCTCCGAGGCCCAGTCCACACGGTGGACAGTGGTGATGTCAGTCCTGTCACTGTTCAAACCCTGTATTATTTACCTGAATTACAGAAAGCACGCAGCCTGTTCCATGCTAGGTGTCACTAGTGGGAAGGCCTGGGTGGCCTGGCCATGCTAGGTATCTCTCTCTGTCTCCTTTTTGTTTTGTTTTGTTTTGTTTTTTTGGGGGGGGTGGATTTCAAGACATGATTCTCTGTGTAGCCCTGGCTGTGCTAGAACTCACTCTGTAGACTAGGCTGGCCTTGAACTCACAGAGATCCACCTGCCTCTGCCCCCCTCCCAAGTGCTGGGATTAAAGGCGTGTGCCGCCACCACCACCCAGCAGAGTCCCTGTTTCTTGAGACTTTGCCTGTGAAGGCTGAGGCCTAGGCAAAGTATGACTCACAGAGACTACTGGCAGTTATGCCTGGTATTGGGGAGAGCAGTCTCAGGCACACAGAGGGCAGAAGAAGCAGGAACCTGCTCTTCTCATCACTCAGGTACTGCATGTTTCCTAAACATCTAAATGGAAAACAGTATCAAAGGGCACAGGAGCCTCTCCACCTGGATGTAGGCATTCGCACCTGGAACACTGCCTAGGCTGTCTGTGTGTCACCCATACACTGTGTGTGCCTATTACTACTGGCCTGTGGCCCACAAAGGCTGTGACTTCCCATCCTGCAGTCACCCTTCTCTACAGTTGTCAGCAGGGGTCCTTCCCAAGTCCTCTCTGCCCAGGAGCGACACTCCCAGCAGCAACCACAGCCTCCGCCCTAGACGCCTGTGCAGCCAATAGGCCTCCGTGACCTCCTCTGTAGGCCCTGCTCGCCTAGAGGAATATGCCAGCCGCACATCTCACGGCTGCGCAGATTCCCAGCCATGCAGGGTCTCAGGCAGGTCTCACCAACAAGTCCATGGCTGCTCAGACTAACGGCGCATGTAGCAATAGCTGAACCACCATGTCAACTATTTCTGGGCTCTGTATGGCAGGAGTGGAGAGATGACTGGTATCCCTACAGAGCAGGTTCACAGCGAGTGACCCGCGTGGGGGGGTGGGCTGAGCTCAGGACATATTCTGCCACCCTGGTACTCTCAAGCTTCAGTGGCACTCCCTGGGGGCACACAGGAGATGGGCCCTGTTAGGCCAGCCTGTACCTGGGAGCCTCAGGCCACAAGGATAGAGCTGAGGCAGCAGAGTCCTAGGGGCAGGTCCCAGGGAGGAAGAGGAAGAGGGGAAGGAGGATGCGGTGATGACGTGAAACCGGACACACCTGCTTCTTACCTGACTACCAGTGTTCCTTCCAACTGCCACATCCTCCAAGTAACTGACATGGCAGCCAGTTAGCCTCGGAAACCTGACCTTCCCAGCAGTGGTACTGAACACCTCTAGGGGTGACATCTCATGGGTAATACCCAACCATGTGCAGAGTGACCCTACATAACAACTACTTATCCCACAGGCGGAAAGCCCACGAAAGCCAGCAGCCAGCCCTGAGGTCACCTGAGACTGTGGACAAAGAGGGCCTGTCTAGGCTTCTGTTTTCCACGTGATACCTATGGAGTTTTTTTTTTTTTTTTTTTTTTTTGCAGGTATCTGGGATCCTGGAAGCAGAAGTGCTCACCAATTCCAACCATCTATCCTCTCAGAGTCGGAACCTCCACACAGGGTCATCTTGAAGGATTGCCTATCAACACCTGAAGTGACTGATAGGATCCAGACGAACGTCTCTGAACCCTGGTGGCAGGGTACTGTGGGTAGGGAAGGAGCTGCAGTGTAATTCAAAGGGCAGGCATCATGCCAGGCCAGGCCAGGTGACAGAAGGATGGGTCTTACCTCACGCTCCAGGTAGGACTTGAGCGACTCGGTCTCATTGAGCAGTGTGACACTGCACTTGCCCCTGGAAGAGAAGGGTGGGTGGGTGAGTGGAGGAGGGCCACCTGAGGCAGCAGGGTCACCAGGTAGGGGTGTTAGAACTACCTGATGTGGGTGGCAGGCAGCGACTCCAACTGCCGAGAGAGGAACAGTTCGCGATGCCGCAGCTGGTGCTTGAGTTTCTCAGGCAGGTCCACCATCTCCGGGTTCTCCACCTCTTCCTCCACTTCCCCTAGAGAACAAAGAGGCCCTGTCAGTCATCCCTGAAGATGGCAGCTGAGAGCCCCAGCCCCCAAGCTAGTTCTCCCTCGTGCAGGGCACCAAGCACAGAAGGGCCACTTTCCTGCCTAGCACATCTCATGCCCATTCCAAGGTGGCTCGCGAGCTCTGGGCAGGCCCCATAGATGCCTTGGAATCCTGGAATATAGGGCTCAACATCAGGATAGGAAGAGGAGGACAGTGTTCAGACTGGCCTTAGAAACAACAGGCAGAGAGAGGCAGGAAAAACATGGGCACACTACATATTCAGGACGGGAAGTTTCATCTGCCAGCCTGAGGCCAGACGGCCCCCGCACAAAACACAACAGATTGCCTGCGCTAGCAGGGTGAACCCTTGAGGCCTGGGCCACAGCCAAGGCCGGGCGGGCTACAGGCTGAACATAGGGAATCCCAGCCCTTAGCCGGCCGGCAGGGGATGCAGGGATGGGCATGTAGGCAGCCCATCCAGGATACATCCACCTGTGTGTCACCCGCCCCAACCCAGGGACAGCCGCGAGGACACCCTCCTTGCAGAGGTCGGCTCTTACCTTCCTCGCCGGTGTCCGCCCCCGGTCCGGCTCTATAGCAGACTGACAGGGCTACATAACAGACAGACAGCGCCCAGATGGCAGGTTAGGGCCAGTGCCAGCGCTTGCTCCCTGCCCAGGGCCCGGACCGAGGAGACATGGGGGCCACAGGCCTCCCGACAGAGGACAAACACCACCCAGTGAAAGACTGACTACCTGTGCTTCCTGACCGCTCCAACACTGGAGCTACCCACCCGAGGAGACACATCCCTCTTCTATGAGTGCAGCTCTTGTCTGCCCCAACCAGAATGCTCACACATATTCTACCAATCAGGCCCTAGCGCCTCTCTAAATGGCAAGAACAGGAGTCAGGGGCCTCCAGACAAGACTGCCCAAAGAAGGGCAAGAAAGTAACAGGACAGCAGGAGGAGGACAGTGACTTTTGGGAGAAGCCCAAGCTATACCAATGTCGCATTTAAGCACCTCAGTTGGCTTGGCTAATGCCCACTACCTGGTATCAACAAAATATTCCTTTGCCTATCCCAGATCCCCAAATAGGGGAGTATGGAACAGTGTGTATAATGACAGCCCAGGCTTGCCTAGAGTGTCCAGCAGGGGGACAGCCCTGCCAACACCCACAGCTCCAATAAGCCTGCCAGACATGGCTGCTCTCTGTTGCCCCCATGTGGTGACTGCAGAGTGCTCTGGCACTTTTGGGAGGGGAATCCCTAGCCTTAGGCATCTTAGATGAAGGCTGGGAGGTTTGTTCTCAGTAAGACTAGGCCCCAGAAGTCTGGGGCATCGCCACTGAGCTATTTTCCTCCTAAACAGGGCAAGCAGGTCTGTTGAGAGCAGCTCCTGCACAGCAGACACGAGCTGTGCACACACACCAGCTAGAGCTTGCAATGTCAGTTGTGTGAGGCCCAACCACCAACTCAGAGGTTAGCTTTTGTGCACACCCACTCTGTATTATACAGCACATCTAGGGAAGACAGCCACACCCTCACTGGGAGAGGGTCCTGTGGCCTGCATCAGTGTCAGGTCCAAGTACAGTCGCTCACAACCCTGACACAGGCACCAAGTGGCTCCAGGATGCCCCTCATCTCTTCTAGACCTGGAGCAAGCCAGACCCTATCACAACCTCTGGCCCCAGCTCTCCCTAGAGACCTTCCAATGGACAAAACCGACGGCAGGGGGCACAGCCCCAACCGGTATCCAAGCCTCCCCACCCCAGGTCCAGAAGCGCTCGCTGGCTTTGTGCTCCCGAGCCACCTCCAGTGTCACTCTGCTAAGTCCTAACCTTGCTCTTGCGGGTACTGGGTAGTGTGGCCAGGCCACATTTCCCTCCATGGGCATCTGGAAGGGGTTTCTGCTCCGGGCACACCACAAGCTACATTGTCTGGCTTCCATCTGAGGGCAGTGCTTGGGCTAGACACCCTGGCAGGGCACCAACTGGGAAGCCAGAGGCTCTGTGACCACAAGGAAGGGCTCCTGGTCTCTAGCTCTTGTGTAATGGCTTCCTACTGTGGAACCAGCGGAGTGTGTCCCGGCTACAGGGAGCTCTATGTAGTCAGAAGCAGCCCAGGTACTGGAGCACTTGGCAGTCACAGCAGGTCCTGGTACCTTGATGCCTGCCTCCTTGGCCTGATGAAGCTCACCGGAGGCCTGGCCAGAGATGCCCAAGCAGCTTTTCTGGGAGCACAGTGTGTGTGTGTGGGGGGGGGTGGGGTGGGGTGGGGGGTGGGGTCTGTAGCTGGCAGGCTCTGACTGCAGCCATCCTTACAGTAGGTCACTACCCTTCGGCAGACCATTACCCTCCCTCCATTTTGGTGGACACAAGGTGGCCCCAACTTTACTGCAGACTAGGACTCACACCTGCAGGGCCCCAATCACATCAAACATTTATAGTGCATGTAGCATATGTACCTACAGGCCAGAGCATGGATAGACTTTGAGGTCAGGGGTTGAGGGAGCCCAACTTTGTATCCAAAAGGGCTCCTGAGCTCATGGTCTAAGGTGAGAGCTGCCATTCCACCTGGAGGCAAAAACTCAGGCTCATGGTGCAGTGCTGGTGAGAGTCACCCAAGGCTGCCCCAGGGACGACAGCAACTCCACTCTAAAGTCAGCTCTGGCTCCTTCAGGCTCCTCCCTAACCTAGTCCCAGAGCTGGGGAGGACAGCCAGTTCTGGACACCCTACCTGTCAATCACCCCTGCTTAGGGTAGGTTTCTACAGTTCCCACCTGACTGGCTGCCACCACAAGGATATTCTGGCTCCTGCAACCCTACTTGCCGCACAGGTTAGGAGTGCCTGTGCGCTGCGCGGGGGCATGTGTGCTCCAAGGAGGTCTTGGGCCCTTTACCCAGCAACGAAGAGTAAGGGATGATACCTATTGAACCCTTGATGGAAAAGCACCCTCCTGGGTGAACAGCTCAGGCAACTCTGTAGCTCCCTGCTGGGAGATGGTACCCACAGTGACCACAGCCGTACTACAGTCCCCTGACTCAGGCAGGACTCCCAGGTCGAGCACCCAGGGCTCAGCAGTTGTCCAACATTCACCCAGCCCTGCTTCGGTCATAACACCCAAGCAAACAACACATCAGTGGTCCATGTGGGTCTGCTTCAGTGACAGGTCAGAACCTAAGTGTAAGGACCAGGCACGGTTCCAGGCACAGGAAAAGTGCCCTTGGACCATGCTTATCAGGCTTGGCTTGAGCTCCCTGGAGCGAGGAGGAAGGTCTTTGTTTCTGAAAAAACTACTGAAAGCATGGACATCTTCCAGCGAAATGAAAACAGTGTATCTCAAGGGCTGGACACGGCCACAGCCTCTGCTCTGGACACGGCCACAGCCTCTGCTCTGGGCCAGTACCTTCCTTATCGCCTGCCCTATGAGTCTGAGCCAGGCGCCAGGTACACCAACTTCCCACACTGGCCCATAACTATGGGCATGGGGCAAGAAGCAGGAAGAGAGATGTTTCACCCTAGCCCATGGGTAAACAGGAGGCCTGGGAGGGACTATGCACTTGCCCAGAGCTGTAAAGGTGTCACCAGAACCCAGCTACAAACAGGAGAGGACAAAGCAGGCCAGTAGAATGGCCTCAGTGAAGCCAGGACCCAGGAGTAGGCACTGAAGGGGACAGGCACAGCACCCCCGGGGACAGGCTGAGACTCACTTGCATGCTTGTCAGCCAGGGCGATGAGACTGCTGGAAATATCCCGCCTTCTGTAGAAACACACCACCTTGGCCTCCACATTCCCGTTGGCTGTCTGTAACAGCAAGGCAGAGGTGTCTGAGCAATGTAGGCCCTAAAAGGGGCCTCAAGACAGGACCAAGTCCCCTACCCAGAGACATTCAGGAGAAAACAACAAATCAACACCTGAGCTGAGGACAGCTCTACCTCGGACACATCCAAAGTCAGGTAAATGTGACCAACACTTGGCTTGACGCACACATTGATTTTTCCCCACCCAATGATCTGGGTCCATGAGGTTCTACATGGCCAGCCAGGGGCCCCACCAAGACAGTGGCCCCAGGACAGGGGAGGCCCTGCTTGCTTTACCAGAACCCCTAAGGACAGCCCTAACCCATGCCCCCTTCCCTTCTATAGAAGGTCAGGCTCCAACGCTGTCCACCACAGGGTTGCCTGTAGCGGAGACCCACATCACCAATAGCAACTAGCAAGGTGAGATGGAGTCAACTGTGCACCTCGACCCGGGTTCCTGTAACCCTGCGCTCTAGCACCAGTAGAGGGTACTACACACAACTAGCCATGTTTCACATAAATGGTAAATAATGCAGGGAACGCCTTTAGTCTCAGCATATGAGAGGCAGGGGCAGGCAGATCTCTGTGTGCTGAAGACCAGCCTGGATTCCAGGCAAGTCAGGACTACACAGTGAGACCCTGTCTAAAAGCTAATAATAATAAAATAATATTGATACAGGGATATGACCCTGGCTCGTGTTCCCACCCTGAATGGAGAAAGCAGAAATGACTTTTAAGCTCTACACAGGGTGTCTGTCTCCTCTCCTCTGTTCACTCACTCACACTGACATGGTCTGTGGCCACCTGCTGTACCCAGAGCCATCATCCAAGAGAACTCTATCCCTCCTATGCTCAGGCCATCCTTCGCTTGTGGTTGGCTCTTGTGTCTGACAGACCTCACCATGGTGAAGCAGTTCAAAGTCTGGAGTGTCAACACTCAGTGGATCCCGTGTTGTCAATAGCCCCACCCCAAGACAGCCTCTCGGGCCCAGACTCCCTCAGTTTCCTGTGGGCCAGAACTCCTCTGCATCCAGGACCACACTGTTACACACACATTGTCCCTCAATACAATATTTTAATGCTGTTCCACGCTTATACCACCTTTGTCTCCCTGCTGCTGTGCTAAGTCACTTTGACAGAGTAACTGAAGGGAGAAAAGGACAACCTGGTCCACAGGTCCATGTCACAGTCCGCAATGGCAGAGAAGTCCTGACATCGGGAGCTTGAAACACCTAGTCACATGGTATCCTCAGTCAGCAAGCAGAATGAGTGAACAAGGCCTCCTGCTGCTCACCTCCCTTTCCCTGCTCACACAGTTGCCTGGAATCCCAGTCAATCCTCACATACTCTGACCACACATAACTACAGAAACTACAGAACGGCTGAACCCCACCCCAAAAATTCATGTTGGCTCACACCTCTCTATCTCATTTCTCACTCAATTGTCAGGGAACCCTCAAAGTCGAGCTTTGGCCATTGGAGACACCCGCACATCATCTCTAAGGGCATCTAAGTGGGGGTGCCTCTTAGTACACTCGGGATGGTGGCCTCACTGTAACAGCGGGCAGTTGCGGCGGCCCATCTTCAGTGTGCCTTGCCTTCTGCACGCACAGGAAAATGCAGAGTGCAGCTCTGTGTGCACGCAGTCCACTTCCCTCTAAACTTTTTCTTTTTTTGGTTTCCCGAGACAGGGTTCTCTGTGTAGCTTTGGAGCCTATCCTGGCACTCGCTCTGGAGCCCAGGCTGGCCTCGACCTCAAGAGATCCTCCTGCCTCTGTCTCCTGAGTGCTGGGATTAAAGGCGTGCACCACCAACTTCCCTCTAAACTTCGAGGTTTCTGTAGGGTTTATTTGAGACAGGGTCTCACTACATACAGCCCTGGCTCAACTTGAACTCACTACGTAGTCCAGGCTGGCTTCAAATTCAGAACTCCACGTTCCTGTCTCCAAAGCGCTAAGATTAAAGGCGTGCAGCCCCCATCCGACACCTCTAAATCATTCTCCCTCATGTTCTGAATGGCAAGACACACCCAGGAAGACCCTCGGCTCGGTCCTTATTCCTCGGGTCACTCCTACCTGTTGTGCGGACTCTTGTCTCCTGTAATTCCTTCTAAGTGGGTGCTGGGTTGGGGACTGTCTGGCTTTCTCATTTGTGTCCCAGTCTCTCAAGAATCCTCGACTGTCACCAACCTTCCTTTCTGTTTTCACTTCAGACGTCCATGCTCGTTTTGGGGAGTTTCCCTCACTGTCCCCTGTCCATAGACCTGCTCAGGCTTGGTACTGTCTCTCCCTTCCTGAGCCCTGGATTCTGTCCCCTGCACTAGCTGTCCCCTTTTCCTCCTAGCCCCATTTCCACGTATTAGGCATTAATCTTGCTTAGCCTCAGGAGTTTCTCATCACTGAAGGCACTTGTCTTTGCTCTGTAGCAGGGACCTGAGGCAATTTCATGTGTGTTGAACTTGCTAGCTGTGGATGGAAGCCAGGGACATCAAGTGAGTTCATGGTGCCTTGTTAATCTCAAGTACTGAAGGGCGAAACCTAGAGGACCTCTCACAGACTGTGGAGATCAGAGGTACTGTCTACCGTAGACATCCATACTACAGGGGTCCATGGCAATGGCCAAAACGGAAGCCTGGATAGGAGCCCCATCCCAGTAACAGAGGTCTGACACTGAGAGACAGAAAGGCTGGTCTACACCTGGGAATCTGAGACTGCCAGCCCAGCTCACAACTCCCTACTACTTGACTTGTCCTTGGCACTTGGCTTTGAGACACCTAGGCTACAATGTCACTCAAAATGATGGGGCTGACACAGCTCCCATGTGCTGGGCCAGTGGACACCCTCTGGTGGCTGCTCACTGCAGCTGGGATACTCCTCTACAAACCTGTTTGTTCATGTCCAAGTCTGTGTAACTGAAATGTGTAAATGAGAGCCTGTTGGTCCACACCTATAGTAGCTGGTAGAGTTCCAGCTACCCAACCTACTATCTTGCCTATTGACAACTGTGGCCAGAGCCAACCATGGGGCACCTGTCTAGGATCTGGTCCCAGTGAGTACATCAGAGGAAACACTAGTGCCCACCTAGGCCATGACAGGCCTCAGGTCTCTAGAAGCTACCTGTATGCTCGGACCAATTCATCTTCCCAAAACATCCCCAGATGTGTGCACAAGCACACACGTGTGTGCACACACACGCACGCTCATACAGAGCTTATCCCCGGCTGTAGAAGATGCTGCTGTAGCAGCACACCGCCTTGGCACAGCCTGGCAACATGGGTTCCAAGGAGCTGGTAAGGCCAGACCTAGAAGCTGGGGCTACACCTAAGCCTCCATCTAGAGCCACCTGCAGGGCTGGTCCGGTCTCAACATGGCCACCTGCGGGGTAGCATCCAACCTTGCCCTCTCTGTCCCATTTGATCCCAAGAATCCCAAGCCACCATTCCAACAAGCCTGAGTCTAGGAGAGCAGCCCTTCTCACTGGTCTATGGTACTCAAGAAGGCTATGGAGGCCCTGTCACCACCCAGCCTGGCAGGAAAGAGTGTCTACAAAGACACAGGTCTGGGAATTTGGTCGGTCCTGCTCTCTGCCTGGCACTAGAGGAAGCAGAGCAGGGATAGGCCTGCCTACCCCAGCCTCTAATCACGTGGGACTTTAGAGCCAAGAGTGGGCAGGCCACATTTGAGGCTCACAGTAGGGATATGGCCATGAGATCCTTGAGACCCAGAAGGGACAAGAAGGTTCCTGGTATGCTTGCTATGTGACTGTGCTGACCTGAGACCACCTCACTCTCCAAAGAGCCAAAAGGTCACTCCAAGCAGAGTAGAATGGAGCCGAGTTTTTGGAATCCATGCATCCATTTCTCCACACTCCTAGCCACCACCCTAGGTGGTGTGTGACTATCCCAGGGTTCTAGCAATGGAACAACCATGCCCCCAGACCAAGGATTCAGTGTCTGCCAAGGATTCCCAGCAGACACAAACTATGGCAGAAGCAGCGACTGGGGTAAGACACCAATAGGACCCCAGGGTATAAATACTGCACACACCCTCAACACTGTAATGGACAGAGTAGACAACTTTGCAGTGTTCATGGTAGTCCTATAGCCAGGAAGCCACCTAGGCTAATGGAAATGGGAAGAGAATGAGGAGAGAGAGAGTGTGGATGAGTGGCACAGAGGGCCACTGCCCTTGGTCTGTGACTAGTCTCCAGAACCATCCAGATCCCTCTGAGTCCTGATGTGCTCAAGTCCATGAGGGAACCTGCCTTAGACAGACCAGTACTTGTTGGGAGATGGGGTGCCGGAACTGGTGACGCCTCAAGGTAGCCCCACGTTTGTCCTCAAGAAGCCTAGGCAGGCTGGGCGGTGGTGGGACACTCCTCTATCCCAGCACTCGGGAGGCAGAGGCAGGCAGATCTCTGTGAGTTCGAGGCCAGCCTGGTCTACAGGGTGAGTTTCAGGACAGGCTCCAAAGCTACAGAGAAATCCTACCTTGAAAAAAACAAAACAAATAAACAAAGCAAGCCTAGGCATGGGCTGGAGAAATGACTCAGTGGTTAGGAGCATGGGATGTTCTTCCAGGGTTTGTTTTAGATTCCCAGCACCCACATGGCAGCTCACAATAACTCTACCCAGTTCCAGGGGATCCAATACCTTCTTCCAGCCTCCTTAAGCATGGATATACACGCAGACAAAACACCCACACACATCAAAAAAATAAAATTAAAAAAAAAAAAAAAAAAAAAAAAAAAAAAAAAAAAAAAAAAGAAGCCTAGACATGGCCACAGGGACTCACTCCCAGCCTCCCCTGGAAGGACATCAAAACCCAGGTAGGAAGACCCTGCCCACCCACAACAGGGAGGCTCCACCCCTCCCTGCCAGGGTCAGGCAGCAGCATCACTGTGTCGAGCTCTTACCTTATTGAGCTCTTCAATCCTGCGGATCAGGTACGGGTTGCTGGAGGAGTTCTCAAAGTAGACATAGTCTGCAACAGAGAGGTCATCATGCATAGCACCAGGGCTCTAAGCCATCCCCACCATTCTCAGAATCCCTAAGAACTGGCTGTGAGCCTCAAGCAGACCCTCTAAGCCCTAGTCCCACTCTGCTAGGGGTCAGAGGGCTGGGGAATAGAGGAGGCAAAGCCTCTTCTATTGGATGGACAGAACCCATCCAGAGGGGTGCTGGGCCAGATCACAGCTGGTGATGGGATTGAGGGGCTGTCCTGGGATTGGCCTGCAGTCCTCAAACATCCAATGTTAGCTGCCTTCAGGAGCACAAGGCTTAGTGGGAAGGCTGGGGGGGGGGGGGACTAACTTCAGCTTCCCCATAAAGCCCAATTCCAAATATCCCGAGGCCCCTGCTCAAAACTACTGGACAACGCTCCAAGTAGCTGCTGCAGGCAAGAACAGTGTGTCTACCATTCGCCACCACAGGCCAGGCTCCACAGATAGACACGGAGACTTTCAAAGCTGGCAGACCCAGCCTGGACAGCTCAGATCACCCTACTACCACAATGCTCCAGCAGTCCCAGGGCAGACGGTATGCTGGACTGTCTACTGCCAGGCTGGCAGAAGTCCTTGGCACTGAACCCCTCCTTAGTGGAGCTGACTGGAAGGTTCCTCCTATTGAAATGGGCAGAGGCAGCAACTGCAGTTCTCTGTCCCCATGTGGGCATGCACTTGCAGGCCTGTCACTGCGTTGCTTCCTGAGCCTGTGCCACCCAGCAGCAGGCCAGCCACAACCTTACAACTCCAGCAGTTAGTGCACAGAGGTTCACACCAGGGTGAAGGGTCACCTGGAAAAGCAAGGCCCACAGGAAGGAAAGTGTACGGTAACAGTACTGGAACAATCTCTGGGCTTAGATTTGGGACTCTCCTGGGGCCCCTGTGAAAACACCCTGATGAATTCCATCAATGTGGATCATTTCTTAATAAAACTAGTTTTTTTTTTTTGTTTTTTTTTTTTTTTAAAGGCATCCAAAAGCACTGGTGGTTCAGTGGTAGAATTCTGCCTGCCGCACGGGAGGCCCCAGGTTCAATTCCCAGCCAATGCAGAAATGTACTTTGAGTTGGGCGGTGGTGGTGCACACCTTTGATCCCAGCATTCAGGAGGCAGAGGCAGGTGGATCTCTGTGAGTTTGAGGCCAGCCTGGTCTACAGAGTGAGTACCAGACAGCCAGAGCTATATGGAAAAATCCTATCTCAAAAAACAAAAAAATTTTAAAAGGAAAAAGATATCTACAATCTAAACTTCCATGATCACAAATCAAATTAAGGCCCAAACCCCAAATTATTCATACTTGCCAAAAACTGAAATAAAATCCAATGTCTCCCAAGTAGAGAACAAGCAAACAAGCAGAGATGAGAGGCACACAGATATCCTGGAGCAGGGGATGGTGGGCACTGGTCTGGGGTGGGGTGCACCAGGACAGGAGGGCTCACTCAGACAGGGCCACATGCTATGTCTGCCGCAGCAGGGACTCAACCACACACCTTCTGCAAACCCCAGAGGTGCCTGTTCAACAAGAACTAAGTACGCTGAATGCACACTATACGTTAGTAAGAAAGAAACCAAAAGGGATCAAAACGCTAACAGATGCTAAGCTGATAAAGCATAAAAGAGAAAAGCTACAGAAAACCGCTATCAGCCACGACAGGTCCCAGTGTTGTAAGGAGGTAAAGTGACAAGGAGGTGATGTGATGTTTCACACCAATCCCTCAACAATTCTGATGAAATGGATCAGTCACCTAGAAAACAAACCAGTACAGCTTACCCAGGAGCAAAGCACCACCTTACACCTGCAGAAGACAGAGATGCATACACACCTCCCAATTGGTTTAATATCCAGTCACACACACACACACACACACACACACACACACACACACACACACACACCACACCCGTGAAATGGTCTGTGTGATAAAAGTACAAACAGGCCAGGCGTTAGTGGCATACACCTTTAATCCCAGCACTTAGGAGGTAGAGGCAGGCAGATCTCTGTGAGTTCGAGGCCAACCCAGTCTACAGAGCAAGTACCAGGACAGGCTCCAAAGCTACACAGAGAAACCCTGTCTCGAAAAAACAAACAAAAACCAACCAACCAAACAAACAAACAAAAAACGGTAGGTGGACTGGAGAGATAGCTCGGTGGTGGTTGATATGCACAGCTCAGCACCCGCATGGTGTGACTGACAAATGCCTGTAACTCCAGCTCAAGGATCCAATGCCCTCTTCTGGCCTCCACAGTTACTTTCACCTATGCACACACAAGATGGCAGGCACTGTAAAAGGTGTCCATGAGCTACAAGAGATCAGCATGCTTCTGCAGAGGTCCAGACAGTAGAATTTAGGCATGTAGGTCAAGTCTGAACTGAGAGCAATACATAGTAGGCACAACCAAATTTCCAAATGTTTAACTGATGGAATTACAAAGTACAGACGATGAGAAAACTTGAGTGGAGTGTGTGTGAGTGTGTGTGTGTGTGTGTGTGTGTGTGAGTGTGTGTGTGTGTGTGTGTGTGTGTGTGTTGACAGCAGCCCAGGGCTACTGTGCTGCTTCGGCAACAATGCCACCGTAGCGCAGACCTAGTGACTGGACACAGGCCTCCCAACAGGACCCCTAGCGTGGCGTCCACACGCAGACAGGGATCTGAACAGACACAGCTGCTGTGGACCACCATGTTCTTTTTATGGGTCTGTTCCCAGGATGTCCAACATAGGAGCCCTCTCCACAAGCCAGGCCGCCCGGTCCTGGGAACCTCTCCTTCTCAGACCTTGGCCATGCCCAACAGTCCTTGGTAACAAGACCCCTGAGAAGGCAGAGACTGAGTGCGGAAGTGGTCACCCATGAACATAGGACCAACCTCCAGGGACCACGCTGGTCCCAAGGCCCGTCCCCATGTGTGTCCCCAATCATTAGTAACGACACGTGGGCCTGCACACCATTCCCTTCTGAGACCCAACCATGCATGGCCTTGGCTGGTTTGGCACGCCTTTCCACTTCAAGGAGCATACAATTGGGTTCAAGAGCACTGCAGCCTCATGAATCTTTCTAGCCAAGTCTGGGTCCTGACGGCAGTCTTGGGGAATACCCCATACCTCACAGCAAGGACTGGAGTGCAAGCCAAGCTTACAGCACTGCAGAGGTGAAGACCCCCAGCAGGCACGGGCTTCTGCTGATGTGGCAACATGAGCTAGGAAACATCCCTGATCAGACCTTCCTACTTGATCTCCCCCAGGAAGAGTGAACCTACACCGAATAAGCTTCTCAAGTGAGCGCTATGAGAGCTCCGTAGTACTTTACAATGAGTTACCAGCGTCATCAGGCGTGCAGCAAGAGCTGACTCTGAAAGGCACATTCATTGCGTTAATAACGGCAATTGTAAGTGGTTTGCCTTCATTTGGGAATCTTCCACTCTGGTCCAAGTTTAGCCCCTGGGAAGCTACCCTGCTGAGCTGCACACTGGGTCAGGTCACAGAGTCCACCTTTCGCACTGCACAATGTCTGTAGAACCAGGGCCCACCAAGCCTTCGCAGTCATCTGTGGCACTGGTTCGGGGGAGCCTGGCTGCCTTTCTGGCTCCTGACTTCATTTATCCAGTTCCCCCATCCTGCTCCATGCATCCCGCCTGCCATACATCCCAGCACTGCCATCCGCACATCAGCTCTTTCCTGTCTTCTCCTGCCAGCTCACAGACCATCCCAGAGGCTTCTGATGCCTCAAATCCACGACTGAACTGCACCAGCACCATCCTTACCTTGCCAAGGAGCTCACTAAGGCTTCACACTAACACTAACACCCCCCCACACCCAGGCTCATTGTCTGGTGCAAGCCCATCTCCTTTGGACACTTTGCTCCGGCAGCTATACTTCGACATTCTCTTCTGTCAGATCCTGATTTTCTGAGGAGTCTCCCTTGGTATGAGATTCTCCCTTTAAATTTTCTAACTGTTCTGACCGTTCTGCTTCCTCAAGCTTAGGACACTGTAAGGCTGACATATGCTGTACCCCTCCCACAGGAACGGAGTCCTGCACATTGAGCAAGGCTTTACCATTTGAAGTAATCAATGACTGATTAGTCCTGCCTTAAAATTACAACAAGGTCCCCAATTTATACCACAAGCACATCCACAGCACACACATGGGCTCAAAATGGCAGTAGGGCCACTGTGTGTGTAGGACCCGAAGTGTGGTGAGCACACATAAAAGCTACTGCTCCATAGTACTGCTGGCAAAGGAAATACACACTGGTCTCCGTCCCCACTTCCTGGCACATGGCTCCTAAAAACCTTGGGACCTTCAGAGAGAGAACAGTGTCCTTTTCATGTGCCTCTACAAGATATGGGCCCCCACACAGAAAAGCCTGGTCCCCAACTTGACGGTGTTGGGGGTGGGGCGTAGCAGGAGGTCTTCAAGCCACAGCAGGCATGCCCAGGGAGGGAACTGCAGGGTCTGGGGTCCTTTCTTGTTTTCTTTTCTTTTCTTTTAATGCTCCAAAACACCATGAGATGCTCAGTTTTATACCATCTTCCATTTCTACCCTAATATTCTGCTGTGTCACAGGCCCAACAGCAGCAAGGACGAGTGACAGAGACTAAAACCTCAGAAACTGTAAGCCAAGATAAGCCTTTCTTCCTTGTAAAGTGGCAGACTTAAACTGTGACAATAATAAAACACTGGCTAACACAGGACAGACACCGTGAGAGAGATGGTTACACCGGAGGCTCTCTAGTGCCTGTTGCAGAGCTAACCAGAGAGAGCCCAGAGGGCAGAGATGTCAGCTCTTCATCTGAACGCCTCCTTGTGTCCAGCAAACACAGCGATTGTTAAGCTCTGAATACTGCCCCAGCAAATCAACCCAACCTCAACAGTGCAGGGAGAGCCTTGACCCAAGGCCGCTCAGTCAGGAGCACAGGCCAAACAGGGGTGCACAACTGGCCTGTGAGGGTGTGTGTGTGTGTGTGTGTGTGTGTGTGTGTCTGG